GTAGGCAATACACACATAAAATAAAAATAATAAATAAAAAATATTTAATTGTGCTTATTTATTGTGTGTGTGTGTGTGTGTGTGTGTGTGTGTGTATCTATGAATGCCATGGTGTACATGTGGAAGTCAGAAGACAATTTGCAGCAGTTGGTTTTCTCCTTCCGCCTTGTGGGTCCCAGGGATCCAACTCAGGTCCTCAGACTTGACAGCAAGTACCTTTATGCACTAAGCTGGCTCCAGGCCCTCAACTTTTTTTTAAATTTGCATACAAAGTATTAGGTTTCATTTTGGCATTTTCAAACATAATTTTTTCTTTCCCCTACTTTCTAAGTGGCTCCTCAATTGCTCAGTTTTTCTAAGTAGGTATATTTTCTTTTTTTTTAATATTTATTTTTATTTGTGTGTGTGTGTGTCTATGCTACGTGTGTGTAGGTTCCCCACAGAAGCCAGAGGAAAGGCATTGACTCCCCTGGAGCTAGAGTTACAGGCAGTTGTGAGCTGCCCAACATGGGTGCTGGGAACCAACCTTGGGTTCTCTGCAAGAGCAGCAAGCACTCTTAATCACTGAGCCTTCTCTCCAGCCCCAGGTATACTAATTTTCTTTTGCTGCATAACATAATGTAAACTTTATGGCTTAAAATCACATAACCATATCTCAGTTCTGTGGGTCAAAGTTTGAGCATAAAATTAGTAGTTTCTCCACAGAGCCTGTGCTGGATAGCTTTAGTGTCAACTTGACACACCTGGGTTGAGGGAGCCTCAATCGGGGAATTGCCTCTATTGAACTGGCCTGTGGCCATGTCTGTGGGGCATCTTCTTGATTGTTGAGTGATGTGGGAGGGCCCAGCCCACTGTGGGTGGTGCCACCCCTGGGCAGGTGGGCCTGTGTTGCATAAGAAAGCAGGCTGAGCAGGGGCCGGGGAAACAAGCCAGTAAGCAGTGTTCTTCCGTGGTCTGTGCTCCAGCTCCCGCCTCCAGGTTCCTGCCCTGAGTTCCTACCTTGGGCTCCCTGATGAACTGCGACCTGGGAGATGTAAGACAAATAAACCCTTTCCTCCCCAAGTTGATCGTGGTCAGAGTGTTTTGTCACAGCAATGGAGAGACAAACTAGGACAGAGCCATACAAAGCTGAAATCCTGTTTCAGCCAAGCCTGAAGCTTGGAAATCCTCTTTTAGCCTCCATTTCCTTGCGGTTGTGGGACTGGGGTCCTTGTTTCCTTGCTGGCTATGTGGATAGTAAAGCAAATGAGTCAAAGGGGCAGGAGATGGAGCATGGCTAGAATTAGGGTTTAGGAGATTTTAGGATATGGATAATGCTGTACTCAAGGCTGTAACCAGCTAAGCTGGAGTGACATGAACGATTTGTATGAAGTAAGGTGAGGGAATGGAGAGGCATCAGTATACATGAACTTGAAGGGTTTTGTTTGGTTGGTTTTTGTTTTGAGACAGGGTCTCCTATAGCCCAAGCTGGCCCTAGACTTGCTTATGTAGTTGAGGCTGGCCTTGAATTCTGATCCTCCTGCATCCACTTCCCAAGTGCTGAGATTGCAGACGTGAACCACCACCACTATGAACTTGAAGTTTGAAGTGAGTGGACAAGAATGACAACTGTAGCAGAAGTAACGATGACAGACAGTGAGCCAGATGCTAAAACAGAAGGAGGGAGGGTGCCAGCTCTGTGGAGGCATGTGCTTTGGACGATCTGGAATTTTTAAGAGGAAAAAGACACCAGGAGCCCAGAGCACCCTTGCCCACTCCTTACCCACAGGTACACGTTAGATAGGAGAAAAAACAGGAAGTAGCAGCTCAAGGGAATCAAGGAAAAGCCTCCTTACCATTAGAAAAGAAGTGCCCAGAGAGAGAGAACTTTATAATCAAAGAATTTAAAGTCAACTTTGTTTTAAAAATATCTTATTTATTATTTTTTTATTTTATGTGTACGCATGTATTGCCTGCATGTACCTGTGTCATGCAATGCCCACTGAGGACAGAAGAGGCTGCTGGATCCCCTGGAACTGGAGTTACGGACAGTTGTTAGCTGTCATGTGGGTGCTGGGATTCGAACTTGTCTTTTTTAAGAACAGCCAGTGTCCTAACCGCTGAGCCATCTCTCCAGCCCCTAAAGTTGACTTTGTTTTATTTATATTCAGATATGATACCTTCAGTTTTGTTCCAGGAGAGCTATATAATTTGTATATCAGATACTATGCTCAGTCCATTCTAATTAATTAGCATCTTTGTTTTTATTTTCCAGTTTCCTTCCTGTTTTTCTCAGATGGGGGGGTCCCTAGGAATAGCCCAAACAAAGATAAGCACTATTTGAAATGAGTGTTCCTAGACCCTTGCTCTTCCAACCACATTGTATCTCCTTAGCCCTTATTCTCATACTGGTTTGTAAGTCAGAAAGCAGCCTGAGACCAGTAGAAATTAGAAGGCTAGAGGGGATGAAGGAAGGACAGGGTGGCAGATACAAGTTGTCTCACTGGGGTTGATGTTTGCTGGTTCGAACTCTTTACTGTCTTGTCTTTTCCCAGTCTCCATAGTATTAGAACACTCTTGTTAACCTTCATTTCTCTCTAGCTCCTTTCCTTTCAAGTATTTATATTTCATATAAACAGTTCAACAGAAATCTTTGTTACTAAGTTTCTTCCTTAAAGTAAGCTTAGTTGCCCATCCCATCCCTGAAGCACAGCCTTCCCAGGAAAGTCCTTTCCTCCCACTGTCCACAAGCATTGGGGCTTCTCCATAGCCTCTTCCTCATACTCCCTCCCAGCTCTCAGCCCTAAGAAGGCCATGGCTTTGATACATTCAGTAGCCAAGAGCAGCTCATTTGTAGATTTTTCCTCCAAATGCAAATTCCTATTGCTTGATACATACAAGACATGTGAAAATATAGTCAACTTGGAGCACAAACTCTTCCACTAGAGTAGACATAAAAATGTTGAGAATATGTTAGGAACTTGCTCTATCCTGTACTATTATTGTGTGGGTTTGGGCAAGCAGCTAGGCTTCTCTGATCCTCAGTTTCTTCATTTGTCAAAAAAAGTTGATAATACCTAACTTGGTGGTGTGTTAATGAGACATATAAACCAATAATGCCCGGCTCTTGGTAAATACTCATTAAGTATTGCTCTTTTCCAAACCGCCTTGTCTCTAAACTCCAGAGAAAGCTTTGCTATCATCTTTAACTTCTTGTCATTCATTCCTTTTCTAATCAGCGAGTACCTGTTATTACTTTCTGTAGGAAATATTAAACAGTAATCGCTCCTCAGGTCTTACCTAACAGTCAGTAGGTTCTGGCCACTTTTCATGCTTTTTTACTTTAAGATTTTTTTTTTTTTTTTTTTTTTTTTTCCTAGAAGAGGGCATTGGAACCCCTGGAACTAGAGTTGCAGATGGTTGTAAGCCACCATGTATGTGGTGGGAACTAGGGATTCTGCAAGAGCAGCAAGTGCTCTTAACCACTGAGCCATCTCTCCAGCCCACTTTTCATGCATTTTAACACTTTATCTACCAGCCTTCCTAATCACAAAAGACAGAAATTCTAAAAAGTTTGGTTTTTGCTGCCTGTAAGATACACATCTTAAAAGCATTTCTCTGAACTCCTGTGTCTTGCTTGAAATCATCTTGTTCAGTACCATAAAGTGCTACTGTGTCTTGCCCGTTTCCCTTCTCTTTTTTCACTCTGGACTACTTAGGTTAGAGTAAGTTGCTCCCTGAACATAATCTCCCCTAACCCATCCTTTACTGAAGCTGAGTCTCAACTGCTTCAGACCTGTATGGCTCACCTAACTTAGAAACAGAAAATTAATTAATTAGGGAGATTGTTTGCCATCCTCTTGCTAGTCAGTGCTACCCTTCATTCACTGCTGGTCAGTGCTACCCTTCATTCACTGCTGGTCAGTGCTACCCTTCATTCACTGCCCTTAGTTCACTACACTATCCAAGTGTAGGGTTTATAGGTTCTCTAGATTTTTAAAAAATTTTTATTTATTATTTTTATGTGTATGAGTGTATTGCCTGCATGTATGTAAGCACACCTGTTTTGTGCAGTGCCCTCAGAAGTTAGAAGAGAGTGTTAGATCCCCAGGAAGTGGAGTTAGGATGGTTGTTAGCTGCCATGAAGGTGTTGGGAATAAAACCTGGGTCCTCTGCAAAAGCAGTCAATGCTCTTAACCACTGAGCCAACTCTCCAGGCCTTTTTTGCTCTTTTTGAGACAGGGTATCTCTGTAGCCCCAGCTGTCCTGGAACCACTATGTAGACCAGGCTAGCCTTGAACTCAGAGATCTGTCTGCTTCTGCCTCCCAAGTGCTGGAATTAAAGGCATGTACCACTATACCTGGCTAAGGTTTTCTAGATTTTATTTTATTATTTTTTAAAATATTTTATTTGTTGTTTTTATTTTATGTGTATGTGTGTATTGCCTGCATATAGGTAAGTGCACCTGTGTTGTGCAGTGCCCTCAGAGGTCAGAAGAGGCTGTTGGATCCTCTGGAACTGGCGTTACAGACAGTTGTTAGCTGCCGTGTGGATGCTGTAATTCGAACCTGGGTCTTCTGCAAGAACAGCCAGTGTTCTTATCCACTGAGCCATCTCTCCAGCCCCAGGTTTTTTAGACTTTTTAAACCCAAGCCTTATTTCAAAATTTTGTTGATATTTTCTTTTCTTTTTTTAAATTTCATTTATTATTTTTTATTTTATGTGTATGCGTGTATTGCCTGCATGTAGGCAAGCGCACCCGTGTCCTGCAATGCCCTTGGAGGTCAGAAGAGGCTGTCGGATCCCCTGGGACTGGAGTTACGGACAGTTGTTAGCTGCCATGTGGGTGCTGGGATTCAAACCTGGGTCTTCTGTAAGAACAACCGGTGTTTTAACTGCTGAGCCATCTCTCCAGCCCCCTTGTTGATATTTTCTATTGCCAGGTACTCTATTGCCCCCTCAATATAATATCTGAACTTCTACAAAATCAGTAAAAGATTTTGAATTATTTTTACTGTAGGTTTCTGCAGCACTGAAACAAGGCCAAATTACATCAACAGAGCTCTGTCAGAAATGTCTCTCCTTCATCAAGAAAACCAAGTTTCTAAATGCGTACATTACTGTATCAGAAGATGTGGCCTTAAAGCAAGCTGAAGAATCAGAGAAAAGATACAAGCAAGGTGAATTACTCTTAATTATACCTCATTGTTATATCTCAAGAGGAACTGTTTAATTGATGTAACACTGTCTTTTGGTAAATGAAGCTTTAAACATAAAACATACCCTTTTTAAAGAACTTGCCATGGGGCTGGAGAGACGGCTCAGCAGTTAAGGACACTGGTTGTTCTTGCAGAAGACCCAGGTTCGAATTCTATCACCCATATGGCAGCTAACAACTGTCCGTAACTCCAGTCCCAGGGGATCCGACAGCCTCTTCTGACCTCCGAGGGCATTGCAGGACACGGGTGCACTTGCCTACATGGAGGCAATACATGCATATACATAAAATTTTAAAAATTAAATTAAATTAAAAAAACAAACTTGCCGTGAGGTATAGCACAAATGAGTCTGTCCGTGTCTTATCATGGACTTATGTCCATTTCTAGTAATTTCTAACATAAATTTGACTACTAAAGAAGTTCCATTGCCAGGGCTAGAAAGATGGCTCAGCAGTTAAGAGCACTGGCTGCTCTTACAGAGGACCCGGTTTCAGTTCCCAGCACCCACATGACAGCTAACAACCATCTGTAACTCCAGTTCTAGGGGATCTGACACCCTTTTCTGACCTCCATGGGCACTGCATGACACAGGTGCACTTATATACAGGCAGGCAAAATACTCATACCCATAAAATAAAAATGATTAAAAATATTTTTAATTATTAAAAAAATCAAGTTTCATTGCCAAAAACTTACTTTGATAACTAGTATTAATATATCTTTATATTTTGAACAATTAGCCCTTATTCACTCTCCCACCTCTGTGTGTGTGTTTTGCATTTGTGTGGTAAGCCAGAGTAGGCTGTCAGGTGTCCTGGTCTATCTATGACTCTTTCCACCGTATTCCTTTGAGACAGCATCCCTTACTGAACCTTGATCTAGACCGACGGCCAGCAAGCCCCCACCATCTTCCTGTCTCTGCCCCGCACAGCACTGGCACTATAGGCACACATGTGGCCGTGCCCAGCTTTTTGTGTGGGATTTAAACACAGGACCTCATGCTTGTCCAGCAAGCACTCTTACCCTCTGAGCCATCTCTCCAGACCCTCTTCTGGCTTTTTAATGCAGGTCAGCCACTTGGAGATTTAGATGGAATTCCTGTTGCAGTAAAAGACAACTTCAGCACATCTGGCATTGAGACAACATGTGCATCGAATATGCTAAAAGGTAAAGTGTAACTAATTGGAACATTGATACCTTTACAAATATAGGAGGCAAGGCATCATAGTACCTGCCTTTAATCCCAGCAGAAGTAGGTACACTGCTGTGAGTTCAAGGCCTACATGGTCTACTTAGTAGGTTCCAGACCAGCTAGGGCTGGTTTGTTAATAAAATACTAAAGCCTCAAGATAATCTGAGACAGACTTTATGGGAAATACTTATGACAGAATATTACCTATTTGCTATTTGTTCTTTCACAATACAGAATTATTCTCTGGGTGTTTGCCAGCCCAGTGATGGAAATCTACTTCAAAAGTTTTACAGATCTTTTTAGGAGGATTCAGTGCTGGCTGTCGTAAACACTTCTTGTGAATAATGTGAGAATTCACTAGCATCTGCTCACCACTTTATTTTTTATTTCTTGGTTCCTCCATCTCTTAGAAAAGCGTAATGGTCCTCAATTTTGTTCTTTAATCTAGTAGGTCAGAAGCAAGAATGTCTATCAAAAGATTTGGATCCTAACAGGAAAAATAAGTAGAGGGAAAAAAAGCTATTCAGAGTGCTACAAATTTACCAAAAGTAATATTTTAAGAGAGCTACACACTAAAAGTAATATTATATGAGTCTTCTTTCGCTGGTGGTCTATGTAGCTATGGCTGGCCTGGAACTCACTATGTAGACCAGGCTGGTCTTGAACTCACAGATCCTTCTGCTTCTGTCTCCTGACTACTGGAATTAAGGGCATGTGCTACTATACCCAGTATTTTAATAGAGAAAATTTTGATTGAGAATTAAGGCCTATCTGTGACTAGAATGCATAAAAACTACTGGGTGGTATCTAAGAAGAAAAAAATAAAATTTTTAGCATAGTGATTTGGAATTAATGTTAAGTGAATTCGATTATAAAAATAGTGAATGATACAGCTGGGCATGGTGGCACTGGTGGTGCACACCTTTGATCCCAGCACTGGGGAGGCAGAGGCAGATGGAGCTCTGTGAGTTCGAGGCCAGCCTGTTCTACATAGCAAGTTCTAGGCCAGCTGGGGCTACAGGGAGATCCTGTCTCAAAAAAAAAAAATATGATACACACTTTGAAAATGATGTATCTTTGAAAAATGTGTAGTTTGCAGGAGAAAATTTCACTTAGAACAAAGTACAGCCTCCTATTCAAATTAGGAATAATTTACACATCAATACTAATTACTTAAAGTTTTAAAATCATTCAGTGTTTTCTCTCGTAATAAAAATAATATTATTTCCAGGTTATATTCCACCTTACAATGCTACAGTAGTTCAGAAGCTGTTGGATCAGGGAGCTCTACTCATGGGAAAAACAAACTTAGATGAGTTTGCTATGGGGTAAGTAAAATTGAAATTTTCTTATGATTTAAAAAAAAATTTTATTGTTTTTATTTTAATGTGTGTGAATATATTGTCTGCACGCACCTGTTGTGCAGTGCCTTCAGAGGTCAAAAGAGGGTGTCAGATCCTCTGGACTAGAGTTATGAATGGTTGTTAGCCAGCATGTGGGTGCTGAGAATCAAACCCAGGTCCTCTGTAAGAGCAGCCAGTGCTCTTAACTGCTAAGCCATCTTTAGCCTATGGTTTTGTTTTCTTTTCCATCTATGCCTTCACTAAGTGTAGGTACCTAAAAGTAGTAAGGTTACTTCCTGAGGATCCTTTTTATTTGTTTATTTATTTTTAACTTTTAGAAGTTATTTTTATTTATGTCTGTATGTCTGTAAGTGAATGCCACATGTTGGGGGGCAGGGGGGCTACCCAAAGAGACCAGAAGGGATCATTGGATACCTTGGAGCTGGACTCACAGGCAATTGCGGACTGCCCACCATGGGTCCTAGGAACCAAACTCAAGTCCTCTCTAAGAGCACTCTTAACCACTGAACCATCTCTCCATTCCACTTCTTGAGGATTCTAATGTCAGTTTCTTAGCCCCACAGTAAAATTATGTTCACTTGTGTATGAAGTATGTAAATTGCTTTGGTTTTAGTATGCATTTCCCTGGTGAATAATGATGGTAAATGCCTTTTCGTGTGTTTATTTTGTCATCTGTGTATCTTCAGTGAAGTATCTGTCCAAATCTTTTGCCCATTTTGTAAATTGGTTTGTTTATTTAGTAATAATGCTTTCATATATAATATGTTCTGCATTCAAGCCCATTATCAGATAGGTGATTTGCAAATCTAGTCTCAAGGTGCTTGGCCTGTCTTTTCACTCTGTGACTATAGCAGTTGCGTTTCTCTTTGCTCTGATGAAAAATAACTGAGAAATCAGCTTAAGGAGGAAAGAGTATTTTGGTTTACAGTTTCAGGGGATCCGTGGCAGGAGAAACACAAGACATCTAGTGACGTTACTTCTGTAGCCAGGAAGGCCATTTTAGTGCCCCTTCCACCCCGTCTCCATCTCTGTCTCCATCTCCATCTCCATCTCTGTCTCTGGTTTCAAACTCAGAGATCTGCCTGCCTCTGCCTCCCAAGTGCTAGCGTGAACGGTGTGCGTCCCCATGCCTGGCACCATCTCCTTTATATTCATTCTCAGACCTCAGCCCATCGAATAATGCCAGAATGATACCCACAGTTAGGGTAGCTCTTCCCACCTCAACTAGCCCAGCCTAGAAACTATCTCACAGACATGCCCAGAAGGTTATTTCTTAGGTCATTCCATATCCCATCTAGTTGACAGTGTTAAAACATCACACTGACCATGACTTTGAAAGAGTTGGAATTCCTAATTTGGATGCAGTCTAGTTCATAGACTTTTTATGCTGATCTCTGTTCATGATTCCAGCATTTTTTTTTTTTTTTTTTGGTCTTTTTGAGACTGGGTCTCCCTGTAGCCCCAGCGGGCCTGGATTTGCTATGGAGCCCGGGCTGGCCTGAACCCACAGAGCTCCGCCTGCCTCTGCCTCCCAGGTGCTGGGATTAAAGGCGTGCACCACCACGCCCAGCTAGCTTCCAGCATTCTTTATCCAAGCCAAAGTCACAAAGTTTTTTCTCCTAGAAGTTTTATAGTTTAGCTTTTACGTTTAATTGACTACCTATTTTGTTCAATTTTTGGTATATGGCATAAGTAAAGTTCAGTTTTTACATAGGGATATTTAATAGTTCCAGCACTGTTATACAAAAGGATAATCTTGTCCTCATTAAATTATCTTTGCATTTTTCACATAAATTTCTTTCTGAATTCTCATCTTGACACTAAGTAGTGAGATTCCTCTCGCTTTGTTCCTTTTCACTATCATTGTACGCACTGTAGGCTGTTTGTGTTTCCATACAAGGTTTAGAGGCAGCGTCTTTTGAACTGACATCTTTCTCCATCTTCTAACCCATAAACACCTTGAATCCCTGCACTACTTGAGATTTTTTTGTATTTTTCCCTCAGCAATGTTTTTAAGATTTTTCTGGCTATAAACACTCCATATAGTTTATGTGATTTATGTTTTTTAAATTACAACGTGATTCATTTGTTTTGGGGGCATGTACAAGTGGGGGTCAGACGACAATTTGGAGTTGATTCCCTCCTTCCACTATGTGGCTGCTGGGGATTGAACTCAGATCATCAGGCTTGGCAAAGGGTGCTTATGCCCACAGAGACATCTCCCAGCCTAAGATTTATCTTTTTTTTTTTAATTTTTGTGTATGAAATACACAAAATTTGAGATGTATATTTTATACACATCTCAATCAATCTTTATTATCTCTATACCCCTTCCCCATTGGCGCCCTCCATAGCCCGCCCCCTGCTGAAATTCATACATTCTGTCATTTGTTTTAAGGCTTATTGTGTTGAGTTAATGTCCCCAGATGTCCCTCAGTGTAAGTTCATCTTCTAAGTTCTAGTCAGCCTATTAGAATCTCTCGCTTTAGGAAAATCAGCTCTTCCTACCCAGCAGTAATCAGTTGCCAACATTTCTTCAGCTAAAATTGGGATCTGCTGTTCATTTCCCTAATTCTCTGCTGGGTTTTTATCTGCTTGAGTTTGCATAGGTCTTGTGCATGCTGACACCATTGCTATAATTCATATGAGCAGGGTCCCAGGAATAGGTAGGACTTTTATTTCCACATGGTCATGCACCTCCTCCCTGGCTCTTACAATCTTTCTACCCCCTCTTCCACAGTGTCCACAATGGTCCCTGAGCCCTAGGTGGGTGGTGTTTAATATAGGAGTCCTGTTCAAGGACCATGATTCCGCAGACTCTTAGTCTCTACACTTGGGCCATTTGTGACCTTTTGTGTTCCTGGCTCTCTGTTGCATAAGGGAGTTTCACTAATGAGAATTGAGTTATACATTATTGTCTTCTTTACCCCTTCTTCTATGTACTGTGATCCTGAGGCATAGAGGTTGCATTATAGATAGATGTGCCACTTAGACTTAGGCAATTCACAATGTCTGTGTGTGACCAGTTGTGGTGCTCTGTAATAGTCTCTGTCAGATGCAAAAGAAGCTTCTTTGATGAGTGGTGACTGGGATATTTGTCTGTAAATATAAGGATCCATATTTTCCACATAGTAAGAAATTACATTAGTCTAGGGATGTGACAGTTATGGGGTTTTCTCTAAGATCTATGACCTCTCCAGCCATGTGTATTTGCAATACCACACATGAGTTTCCTCCCATTGAGTGGGCTTTTATTTAGTTCAGTTAGGTAACTGTTGATTGCCCCCAAAATAAGAATGCCACTGCTGAACCAATGTTGTATGCTGTGCCAGTCATTGATGTGGTTATTTGGTCTTGAAGCTGGTGTTGAACCATTGATTGATGTTCTCCCTTAGCACCTCGCATAGGGCTTTCCTAAGCTATGAGAGCTGCCTTCAGGGGAAGTGGCTTCCAGGTCAGTTCCAGCTCCATTACTCGAAATCCTGTGTCTAAAGTATATTCTGTCTTCAGCAGTAGGGTCTTACCTTCAAGTTCTGGGAGGCCGTCAAGGGCTGTAGCAAAAGCCTGTGTAATTTTGGGAGTCTCTTGGACTACCCTGGCCAACAACTCAAAGGAAGATTTCTCCTTCTGGCACTGTGTCTTGTTATGTAGCCTTTAGCTATACACATGGACTCAATTTGGGGGTTGGAGAGATGGCTCAGTGATTTATCTGTTTTGGGGGGGGTCTTTTTGAGACAGGGTCTCCCTGTAGCCCCAGCTGTCCTGGAACTCACTATGTAGACCAGGCTGGCCTTGAACTCACAGAGATCCGCCTGCCTCTGCCTCCCAAGTGCTGGGATTAAAGGCGTGCGCCACCACGCCCAGCAATTTATCTTTTTTAATGCTGTAGTTTTTCAATTTCTAATTATATATTGTAAATGTATAGAAATCTAATTGATTTTTCTATATTGACCTCATATCCTATGACTTTACTGTTAATTCTAATTGATATTTGTGAATTCTTTGGAATATTTTATGTAGATAACAGAGACAGCTTTATTTCTTATTTTTTATGTTTTGTCTTATTGTACCAATTAAGACCTTCAGTGCGATGTTGAATAAAAGTGTGAAAATGGACCTGGAGAGGTGGCTCAGAGAAAAGAGCTTGCACTGCTCTTTCAGAGGACCCGAGTTTAGTTCCCAGAACCCATGTTGAGTAGCTGACAAATGCCTGTAACTCCAGCTCCAGGGGATCTGACAAGCCTCTTCTGTCCTCCGTGGGCACTGTACTCACATGTATGCATGTGCTTACAAACTGGGGTTTAGTTTAAGGAGGTATCCTTGCCTTGTTCTTTATACTAAGGAAAAGCATATTTAGTCTTTTACCAAAGTACTTTAGGTTTTCCCTCTTATACCTCATATCATATTTGTAGCATTGTTTGAACAGGGATCCCTGTTTTAAAGAAACAGCTCTTGACAGTCATATCTCTTTGTATGCAGTAGGTACATGTTTAATGAATTCATCCATGGGAGGAAACTTGAATGTAGGTTTTTTTTTTTTTTAGGATATATTCTTTGATTAGCTGGAATTAGCATTGCCAATGAGGGTAAAGTATGTCACCAATGTGATTGTTTTAGGACATACCATTTATTATCTTCCAACTGAGAAATTATAATCTAACTCTAATAACAAAGAAACATACAGCAAATCTAAAAACAGAAGCATTCTATTAAAATTTTATTTTATAAAACAAAAACAAGCCAGGTGTGGTGGCACACGCCTTTAATCCCAGCACTCGGAAGGCGGAGGCACGCGGATCTCTGTGAGTTCAAGGCCAGCCTGGTCTACATAGTGAGTTCCAGGACAGCTGGGGCTACAGGGAGACCCTGTCTCAAAAAGACCAAAAAAAGAAAAAAAAAGTAAAAAATACTGTGAAAATGCTCTAAAGAAAGAGGTTGAAGAATGTAAAAGCTGGGGGCTGGAGAGATGGCTCAGCAGTTAAGTGCGCTGGCTGCTCTTGCAGAGGACAGGGTTCCATTCCCAGCACCCATGTGGCGGCTAACAACCGTTCATAACTCCAGTTCCAGGGGGATTAGATGCTCTCTGTGACCTTCATGGGCTTTGCACAACATGGATGCATTTACATACATATAGCAATACACTCATACACATAAAATTTTTAAAAATAATAAATAAAATATTTCAGAAAATTAAAAGACTATAGTGGCTGGAGAGATGACTCAGAGGTGAAGAGCACCGGCTGCTCTTGCAGAGGACTCAGGTTTGGTTCCCAGAGCCCACATGGTGGTTAACAACTGTCCATTCCTCCAGTTCCAGGGGATCTGATGCCCTCTCTGACCTCCTTGGGAATTGCACGACATGGGTTCACTTATACACATGTAAGCAACACACTCATACATGTAAAATAAAAATAAAAATGTAAAAAAGAATATAAAAGCTAAAATTATAAAATTCAGAAAACCTAGGAGAATATCTGTGTGCTCTTGACTTAGGCAAAAATTTCTTAGCTAGGAAACAAAAAAATCTATTTTAGAAACTGATAGATTCAACTTCATTATGGTTAAAAACTGTATTTGGGGGACTGGAGAGATGACTCAGTGGTTAAGAGCACTGGCTGCTCTTGCAGAGGACAGGGTTCCATTCCCAGCACCCTCATGGCTGCTAACAACTGTCCATTGCTCCAGTTCCTCCTTGGACCTCTGCAGTCACTGCGTGCATGAGTACGCTTACATATATGTAGGCAAAACACTCATACATAAAAAATATACGTAAGTTTTTAAAAAAAACTATTTTGGGGGGTTGGGGATTTAGCTCAGTGGTAGAGCACTTGAGGCCCTTTGGTCCTCAGCTCCAAGAAAAAAGGAAGAATGAACCTGATAAGTAAAAGGTTTTTGAAGGAGCCAAAATATTTAAGCAGACATTTCATCAAAGATGATAAATGAGTAACAAATATATATGAAAAATACTTTATATCTTTGCCACCAGGGAAATGCAAATTAAAACCATAATAACATACATACACTTTTAGGATGGGTTAACAAAATGGTAGTATCATGTATGACAGGGGTGAAGAGAGTGTATCTCTTACATGTTACTGGTAGGGCTGCAAAATATATAGCAGTTTTGGAAAACAGTCTGTCTTTATCTCCATCATAGGATCTCTTTGTAGTCCAAGCTGACCCCAAACTCACTATCCTTCTGCCTTAGTGCCTACCCCCCAGCTCCAGTGCCAGGATTGCAGATATGCATTCTTAGTAGTAGTTTCTTATAGTTAAGCATATGCTTACCATGAGTCCAGTAGTTTCAGACCTAGGTATTTACCCAAGAAATAAAGACTCTTATTTGTATAAAAGTGCTGGAACAATGTCTATGGTAGTTTTGTCTGTAATTACCCTAAACTGGAAATAGCCTGTGGTGGTTTGATTGAGAATGTCCCCCATAGACTTCAAGTATTTGAGCATTTTTGACCCCAGTTGGTGGCTGTTTTGGAAGGTCTTAGAAGATGTACCCATGCTGGAGGAAGCATGTCCCTAGAGGGTTCTTACAGAGTTCTTAAGCCTTGCCAGAGCTCTAGTCACTCTCTGCTTCCTGTGCCTGCTGGAAGGTGTGAGAGCTTAGCTTCTATTCCTACTCTAGTTACCACTGCCTCCATACCTCCCTGCCATGATGGACTCTTTGTCCCTTTGTAACCAAGGTCTCCCTAAGTCCCAGGTGGCCTGGAACTCACTGTGTAGACCAGGCTAGCCTCAAACTCACAGAGATCCACCTGCCTCTGCCTCCTGAGTACTGGGATTAAAGGCATGCACCACCATGCCCAGCCTATAAACTCTTCTTTTTGTAAGTTCCCTTGGTCATGATGTTTCTATCACAGCAACCGAAAAGTAACTAATACACAGCCCAGTGTTTTTAGCTGCTAAAGGATTGAAAGTCAACCTGAACTACAAAGCAAGACCTTATCTTAAAAAATAAAAATGAAGGGTATTGGAGAGATGGCCCAGTGGTAAAGAGCACTGTCCTGCTCTTGCAGAAAACCTGGGTTTGAATCCCAGCACCCACATGGCAGCTAACAACCATCTGAAACTCCAGTTCTAGGGGATCTGATGCCCTCTTCTGACTTCCATGGGCATTGCATGACATGGTTACAGTTACATACAAGCAAGCAATATACTCATACACATAAAATAAAAATAAAAAGTAAATAAAATAAATAAAAAGAGGGGATAATGGTATATTTGAAGTATATTAGGTACATGTATGAAAATGTCATAATGAAACTTACTATATATAATTATTATATGTGAATAAAAACCTTGAAAGAAAAAACAGATAACTAAGTGCAAGTCCTGATTTTGGATTTGATCCTAGAAGTGGCTAAACTGCTATAAAAGTACATCATTGGCCGGGCGTGGTGTTGTACACCTTTAATCCCAGCACTTGGGAGGCAAAGGCAGTGAGTTCGAGGCCAGCTGGGGCTACAAAGAGACCCTGTCTCAAAAAAAAAAAAAAAAAGAGCACATTATTGAACCCTCTGTCAAAATTGAATTATATAAAGTATTGATGTTAATTTTGCTATGACTGATAGATTGGCTATTCTTAGGAATTGCAAACTAAATATATGCTGAAGTATTTAGAGGGAAGAGAGCCATGATATGTATAACTTACCTTTAAGTGGTTCAGGAAAAAGATGTATATGTGTATACACACACACACACACACACACACACACACAAATACATGGCATGAAAAAAATAAGTGTTAATAAGATGTGTATCTGAGTCAAATGCTTTACCTTTTTTCAGTTCATCTGAGAATAAAATTTCAAATACAAAGTTATTAACTTTCTACTTCTACTTGTCTTGAAACTGTGTGTGTGTGTGTGTATGTGTGTGTGTGTGTGTGTGTGTGTGTGTGTGATGGGAGTAAGAAGCATGAATCTGTACACCACATGCAGAGACCAAAAGGTGTCCTCCTCTAAAATACTCCTCTTTACTTCTTTGAGATAGAGTCTCTCACTGGACCTGAAACTCACCCTTTAGTCTAGACTGGCTGGCCAGCAGTCCTCCTGTCTCCCCACCCCTAACCTCAAATTCTGAGATGACGGGCATGCATAGGTATGCCTGTTTTGTTATTTGTTTGGGTTTTGTTTTGTTTTGTTTTTGTGGGTTCTGGGGATTGTAATTCAGGTCCTTGTGCTAGCACAGCAAATGCTGTTATACGCTAAGCTATTCTTATCTCCCGATTGCTGTTTTTTAGTTTCTGAGACAGGTCTTACTCTGTAGCCCAGGCTGGCCTGGATCTCACAGAAATCATCCTGCCTCAGCCAACCAAGTGCCAAGATTGCGGATGTGAATCACCCCACACCTGGCTTGCTTTTGTTGAAAGTTCTGATTAAAGGATTCCTTCAAAAGATTTTGTAAGGGCTGAAAAGATTGCTCAGTGGTAAGAGCACTGGCTGGCTGCTCTTGTAGAAAACCCAGGTTTGGTTCCCAGTACCCACGTAGTGGCTTACAACTGTCCATAACTCCAGTTCCAGGAGCTCCAGTTCAGACGCCCTCTTCTGACCTCTGTGAGCATTGCATGACACAGGTGCAGTTTTATACCTGCATGCATACATATAAAATAAATAATCAAGAAAAATTTTTTAAAGAGTTTTAAAAGCTTTGTGAATCTTTTCAACTGAAAGATCTTTACTTAAGGGAAATCATCTTTTACTGATTTGGATGGTCAATTGGAATAAAATCTTCAGTTGGCTAAATAATTTTCTTCAGTTTTTGCTATAAGTGCTCATCCCATATCCCACCATCTAAATTGCCTCATTAATGAGTGCTGCATGTGAGTAGTAGTCTGCCTTTTCCAACTCTAGCTGTAGTGGATTAGTGAAAGTTCAATGAATGTCAGAAGCAAATGAATAGACTCAGGACATAAAGTGAAGTTTTACTAAGGTTTTGCTTCACTTCTTTACCTCAGATCTGGAAGCACAGACGGCGTATTTGGACCAGTTAAAAACCCCTGGAGTTACTCAAAGCAATATAGAGAAAAGAGGCAGCCGAAGCCCTGTGAGGAGGAGGAGGGTTCCGGTTGGCTGATAACTGGAGGAAGCTCGGGTGGGAGTGCAGCCGCCGTGGCAGCGTTCACGTGCTTTGCGTAAGATGTTTGTTTTTTGTCTGCTTGTACGTCACATCCCATCCGAATACAGCCATGTGCAAAACGCAGCAACAGAGTAGTTCACACCTTCAGTGAGGCGTTTGTGGTCAAAGGTGTATAGAAATTATGTCTTAAGCATATACAGCTGTTCAGCCCACTATGTGAACTTTATACATTTAAATTTAAAATAACATTTAGACTTTTCTTCTGCAACCTCTGGTTCATTTTGAAAGGATAATTTTTTTGTGGCTCTTACCAAGTAAAATATTGAGCATGAATGAACTTCACTGAATTTTAATTTTTAAATATTTTATTATTTTTATTTTATGTGTATGCATATATTGCCTGCATGTAGGTAAGTGGACCTGTGTCTTGCAGTGCCCGAGGAGGACAGAAGAGGCTGTCAGATCCCCTGGAACTGGAGTTACAGACAGTTGTTAGCTGCCATGTGGGTGCTGGGATTCGAACCCAGGTCTTCTGCAAGAACATGCTAGTGTTCTTAACCACTGAGCCATCTCTCCAGCCCCAAAGTTTGGTTTTTAAAATAATTTATTTTAGAGCATATTTATTCCCAGATGACTGGAGTGCTGTTTTAGCTTTAGTTCAGAGTGGCTGGCCTGGTGGTAGTAGTTTATTCTTCAGTTGAATCTGCTTTCTTGGTTTTTTGGTGTTTTTGAGTCCAAGTCTCACTAGCTCAGAACTTGGTGTGTAGACCAGTCTGGCCTTGAACTTAGAGATCTACCTGCATCTGCCTCCTGAGTGCTGGGATTTAAGGGTGTGTACCATCACGCCTGACTGAATCTGCTTTTTTAAAAATTCCCTGAGTATGTATCAGTAAGATATTTACAATGGTGTTTTCACAAATCTGCAACTGGAAATGCCAGTCATTACGTTTTTTCAAGTTTGCTTGGACCTGACTTACTGTCATACTTGGTAAGAACCCATCAGTCACATTTTAAGTCACATTTTTTTTCAAAGCATTTCTTTTTGGGGGAGGGAGGTAGATTTCTGAAGAATGGTCTCATTTATGTAGCCTAGGCTGAACTTGATCTTACTGTGTATCTGACAGTGGCTTTGAACCCCTGATCTCCTGTCTCCACCTCCTCCTGAATGCTGGAGTCTTTGGTGTGTACCATCGCCCCGCCCCTTAAAGCATTTCTTAACTATGTAAAGAATACTAAGTAAATATGGCTGTTACTATATTTATCAGTCTCAGTTTAACTAAATTTAATGTGTAATACTAATGTAATACTGTATTTTTTTCCTCCATAATTATCCACTAAAGCTACATATATTCTTTCACAAGCATTGTAACCAATAAATTGTTTATGGTTTTTAGAACTGTGGAGCTTTAGTTTCTTTAGGTTTTTTTAAAGTTTTTCTGAAATCTTGTTAACAAGTAAAGCCATTTCATTTTCTCTCTGTGGAATTTTAGAGCATTGCATTAATATTGATGAGAGTTCTGACATGTTAGAAAAGCGGGATCAGGTGCTTTTTCCCTCCCTTCATCACTCCACTTAGTGTTCCTCTTTCTGAATGTACTTTGAGAAGATGGCATTTTGACACATAATTCCTATGGAAATGTAGGTTTTACTTTTACACAGCCGTCAGTGAATGCTAATAAGAGATGGTATCTTTTCAAAATTGTGAAAAGAGCAGACTGATTTTGTAGCTTAAATGGACTTGGTGAGAAAGGAAATATAATTTACATTTTCTGTAGAGCGTAAATGACATGTTATTGTTAGGAACATTGCTCAGTCCAAAGCTTCACTTCAAGTATAATCAGTAGATAAAATGTATCAGTAGACACACCAACCAAAAAGTTACTTGAATGCATCCAAACTTAAAGTAGTCTGCTCTTCCCCCCCCACCCCCCACCACACACACATGTACTTTTAATGAGTTTGTTTATAATAGTATTTAAAATAGAAGATTCTTGGAGTAGTATTGAGCCACTTAAAAAGAAAGAGATAGGGTGCTGTGTAGTGATGTAGAAAGTTATTCCAGGGACATTGTTAAAGGAAAAGAAGTTTCAGAACAGTATGTATAGCACAACTTTTCTGTTAAAAGTAATTATTATATGGGTATGGAGTGTCAGTCATTGCATGGCAGTATCTGGGTGAAAGTATGTGAAAACTGGAAATTTTACTTGCTATACCATGTAATTATATGATAGTTTAAAATCTGTAACAGACATACTACCAAAGAACTTCATTTCTAAATACTTAATTAAAATTTTAGTTGTGGTAAGATACACCTACGTGGGGCTGGAGAGATGGCTCAGCGGTTAAGAACACTGGCTGTTCTTGCAGAAGACATGGGTTCAAATCCCAGCACCCACGTGGCAGTTGACAACTGTCCATAACTCCAGTTCCAGGGGATCTGACAGCCTCTTCTGTCCTCCGCGGGCATTGCATGATATGGGTGCACTTACCTACATGCAGGCAATACACACATATACATAAAATAAAAATAATAAAATTTTTTAAAAAAGATCCACCTACATAATTGTGTATTAATCTGCAGAATGCTTCATCATGCAAAACTAAAACTCTGTACCCACTAACCCTCCTCCCAATCTCTAGTAAAACCCTCCTCCTTGTCTCTATGAATTTGACTTCTCTAGGTACTTCCTATACATGGTTTCTGACAACATCTGTTCTGACTGGCTTATTTCACTTAGCATAATGTCCTTAAGGGCTTTTTTAAATAAGTTTTTTTTTTGTTTATTTGGTTTGGGGTTTTTTTAGATAGGGTCTCCCTGTAGCCCCAGCTGTCCTGGAACTTGTATGTAGACCCAGCTGGTTTCTTTCTCACCGAGATTTGCCTGCCTCTGCCTCCCAAGTGCTGGGATTAAAAGCGTGCACCACAACACCAGGCTAATAAGTTTGTTTTTTAGAGTAAGAATAGCACACATTCTACATGTGATTGGGCAAAGAAATGCACAGCCACTTTGTAGTTGGGTAATGTAAATATGAATGAATGAAAATTTATTCAAAATGAAGATTTTAAAAATTCCTTTTCTTACCAGGTTAGCAAAAACCTTAAAAATTAGTACTCACGGATAGTACTGAAACTACAATTAAAATATATAAATTGGCATGGTACCCAAAATGAATTATTTGAGATGAGATGTATAGTGAGATGGATTATATATTGCTATATATAATTAGGGGAAAATATACTTTTAAAATGGCAGGTTTGGAATACAATTAGAGACATGTCATTCTTCTAAAAAGAATTCCATTTAAATTCCAGCGCTCTAGGATCAGATACTGGAGGATCAACCAGAAACCCTGCCGCCCACTGTGGGCTTGTTGGCTTCAAACCGAGCTATGGCTTGGTTTCCCGCCATGGCCTTATTCCCTTGGTGAATTCAATGGATGTTCCAGGAATCTTAACCAGAAGTGTGGACGATGCAGCAATTGTGTTGGGTATTTGTACAATTACATGTTATTTGAAAGAGTATCACCGTAAAGCAGTATGTCTGTCACACATTAGTATTTTTCCTTACAGGTGTGCTGGCTGGACATGACCCCAAAGATTCCACCACAGTACAAGAGCCTATTAAACCATTCAAGATTCCCAATTTGACAGATGTGAACAACCTGTGTGTAGGAATTCCAAAGGTAACTTCTTCCTTTCATTACTTTACAAAAAAAACTGGCAAGTCAAACACAGAGCACAGACTTAGGAGGCAGCCTGGTTGGGTTTGAATCCCTGTACCACCACTTTTAAAGGCCATGTGTTCCTATGCCTGTGACTAATCCCCCTAAGCCTAACTTCTCTATTTGTGAATAAGAATAATGAAAATACTGACCATGGAAGTTGTAAAAATTAAATTTGATTATCCTATAGAACAATAGTCTGTAAATTTTTGCTGTAAAGATAAAGATACAGTTTTTGGACCATATATTTGGACTTTTGAACCAGTATAGTGAAAAGCAGCTATAGGTAATTAATGAAGAAGTATGTCTGTCAGTGTTAGGTTCCATTATAGATGTGTCACTGAGGGCTGGGCAGCTCACAGACACTTACTCTCTGTGTGAGACCAGTTGTGGAACTCTGATAGTCTCCAACTGTTGCAAAAAGAAGTTTTTTGATGAATGGTGCTAGGTATACTTGTCTGTAATATAAGGATACGTATTTAGCTTGTATTAAGAAATTGGGTTTTTCTAGAGATGTGACAGATGTAGGATTTTGTCTAGGATCTATGACCTCTCCAGCTATGTGTATTTGGCTATGTTTATAGTACCACATATCATTTCCTTCCCATTGAGCAGTCTTTAAGTCCAATTAGATAGTGCAGATAGGAGATAGGTCTAAATATGATTAAGATGCTGTCCTAGTTTATGTTTTCATTGCTATAACAAAATACTCTGACCAATACCAGCTTGGAGAGGAAAGGGTTTATTCAGCTTACATCTCCTGGGTCATAGTTCATCAGGGAGCCCAAGGTAACTCAGGGCAGGAACCTGGAAGCAGGAGCTGGAGCACAGGCCATGGAGGAACACTGCTTACTGGCTTCTTCCCTGGCCCCTGCTCAGCCTGCTTTCTTATGCAACATAGGCCCACCTGCCCAGGGGTGGCACTACCCAGTGGGCTGGGCCCTCCCACATCACACAACAATCAAGAAGTTGCCTCATAGACATGGCCACAGGCCAGTCCAATGGAGGCAATTCCCCAGTTGAGGCTTCCTCAAATCAGATGTGTCAAGTTGACACTAAAGCTATCCAGCACAGATGCATTGTATGAAATGCACAAAAATTCAAAAAAAAGTATATTGAAAACAAAAGAAGTATATGTACTAATAAAACTTTATTTTCAATGATCACATCTGACCTGTAGTCTCAGTTTGCTATTCACTTATATAAAAGATAGTCCATAGGTATACCTTATATAGCAAGGCCTCACTAAATGTTATCGTATTTATTATTACCCATTACAATAGCAATTAAATAATTCATACATGTAATAATAAATTGACACTTAAAAATTTAAAGCTTTCTCTTTCTCTCTGGCTCTCTCTCTCTCTCTCTCTCTCTCTCTCTCTCTGGCTCTCTCTGTCTCTCTCTCTGTCTCTGTGTGTGTGTGTGTGTGTGTGTGTGTGTGTGTCGTTTTTGAGGTAAAGTTTTGTTATATAACCCAGACTGGCCTTCAACTCAATTATTCTCCTGCCTCTGTTTCCCAAGTGCTGAGATTATAGGTGTACGCCACCATAGCCAATTATATACCTAACAATTTATTAATCTTTAATAAATGTTTTAGAAATATTTTAGAAAAATAAATTTCCCTGCAGAATAATGAGGCTTTTCAATCTCCACACAATTGGTGTTTTGTTTGGTATAGTTTGTTGTGGAAGATTGTCCTTCGCATTGTAAGATGTGTAGCGGCAACCCTGGCCTCCACTCCCAGATGGCAGTAGCATACCTCACAGTCAAAGTGTCACAGGCATCAGATGACACCAGGTGACATCACTACTATAGAGAAAGGCTATTAAAAGTGTTTCATCAAGATAACTATTTGTCTCTTTTTAAAGACCAAGCTAGAGCAAAGCTTTAGTAGCAAACCTAAATACTAGATCCTTTACTGGCCTGCTATATATAACATTAGTAAAGTTACTTAACTTCACTGTTCCCCGTACTTTTCATTCATAAAATGAGAGGTGACAGTACTTGCGTGAAGCAGGATCAGAAGCATTAAATGAGAGAACCTTTGAAAAGCATCAGAAGGGTTCCCCATGAGCTCACCAGTCTTTTAATCATTAGACCTATCTCAATGCTAGCTTATCATGCCATCAGCACTTTTCCAATCTTTCTAGATACCTAGATACTAGCAATAGTACCAGTTTTTTAGTCTATTGTCAAAGATTTTAGTAAACAGATTTTTATGAGTCCCTACAGACATTCCAATTTCTGTATTTTTCTCCCTATGAGGAATATCTTGTTCCAGAATTATCAAGTGAAGTACGATCTCTCTGGTCCCAAGCTGCTGACCTCTTTGAGTCTAAAGGAGCCAAAGTGATTGAAGTATCCTTGCCACACACCTGTTATTCAATCGTCTGCTACCATGTGTTATGCACATCAGAAGTGGCATCAAATATGGCAAGATTTGATGGGCTACAATATGGTAAGATTGTTGGTTTGGGAATTTTGAGGTACCTTAGACATTTGAAAGGTTCATTCATTGGTTATAAAAAAAAATACTGCCAGAGATAATTATTCAGAAAAGTAAATCAGTGAGTCAATTTTACTTTATTGCTTTAGCATTGCACATATGTCATTCATCATAAACCTCTCTATATGTTCAGCTCTCTGGTCTGGAGGAATAGCTCAAAGGGATAGAATCCTGTCTTTGCGTGCCCAGCCAGTTGGATGTAGTATCTGACACAAGGTGGAGCACAATAAAGGTTTGGATGGATGGATGGATGGATGGATGGATGGATGGATGGATGGATGGATGGATGGACGGACGGATGGATGGATAATAGCTAGAGTAAACAAGTTTTTTTCATGGTTATTTTCTTTTCTCTACATGATTAATCCTTATAACTAGTTGATTGGTTAGTCACAACACACATAAAGAAGAGGAACTTGGATTGGCAAGTTCCCTAAATCTCTATATTGATCACAATACTGGTTTTTAGCCAAAACTTCAGTTCTTTTTCAAGTAATGTTTATATCCTGTGCTCAGGTCACAGATCTGATATTGATGATACTGCCAGAGATAATTATTCAGAAAAGTAAATCAGTGAGTCAATTTTACTTTATTGCTTTAGCATTGCACATATGTCATTCATCATAAACCTCTCTATATGTTCAGCTCTCTGGTCTGGAGGAATAGCTCAAAGGGATAGAATCCTGTCTTTGCGTGCCCAGCCAGTTGGATGTAGTATCTGACACAAGGTGGAGCACAATAAAGGTTTGGATGGATGGATGGATGGATGGATGGATGGATGGATGGATGGATGGATGGATGGACGGACGGATGGATGGATAATAGCTAGAGTAAACAAGTTTTTTTCATGGTTATTTTCTTTTCTCTACATGATTAATCCTTATAACTAGTTGATTGGTTAGTCACAACACACATAAAGAAGAGGAACTTGGATTGGCAAGTTCCCTAAATCTCTATATTGATCACAATACTGGTTTTTAGCCAAAACTTCAGTTCTTTTTCAAGTAATGTTTATATCCTGTGCTCAGGTCACAGATCTGATATTGATGTGTCTACTGAAGCCATGTATGCTGCAACCAGACGAGAAGGGTTCAATGATGTGGTGAGAGGAAGAATTCTCTCAGGAAACTTTTTCTTATTAAAAGAGTAAGATAATTATTTTAAGAATTTTCTCTATTTTTGAAACCTTAAAAATTTATTAGCAGTACTGGACTAGGGATGTAGCTCAGCTGATAAAGCACTTACCTAGCACATATGAGGCTCCAGGTTCAACCTCCAGCACCAATAAACTCGTTGTGGAGGTGCATGCCTATAATCCCAGCACCTAGGAGGTGCAGGCAGAGGAATGGAAGTTCAAGGTTATCCTTGGATGCATAGCAAGTTCAAGGCCAGCCTGGAACATATGGAAACCTATCTCAGAACTAACAACAAAAGAGTAAGGAACTGGAGAAATGACTTCAAGGTCAAGAGCACTTGCTGTACAATCATTAGGACCAGAGTTCAGACCCCAGCATCAGCATAAAAAGCTAGGCATCCTGTGGATGCACGTAACCTCTGATCTAAAAGGGGTGGAGACAGGAGGATCACTGGGGCTTGCAGACTTCCAGAGAAAAATGTGGGTTCCGGGTTCAGGGAGAGACCCTGCTTCAAAGGACTAGATGGAGAATGATAGAGACGGGTAACTGATGCCCTCTTCTGATCTCCATGTGTGTGCATAGATGCATACAACCCATGGATACACATGTGCATTCCACACAGACACATATACACACGTGCAAATAAAGGAACAGATAAGTAAATATTTTTTAAAAAGCAGTACCACATGTAGCAGGTCTTATAAGAAAGTTGAGATATTTTATTTTATTTGTTATTGTTATCTTATGTGTATGTGTGTATTACCTGCAAGTAGGTAAGTGCACCCGTGTCGTGCAATACCCACATTGGTCAGAAGAGGCTGTCAGATCCCCTGAGACTGGAGTTACAGACAGTTGTTAGCTGCCGTGTGGGTGCTGAGATTCGAACCCTGGGTCTTCTGCAAGAACAACTAGTGTTCTTAACTGCTGAGCCATCTCTCCAGCCCCCGAGATATTTATTAAAGAAACAATTCTTATGATTTAAATTAGGAAAGGTCTATTGATGGTACTTTGGGATTGTTGTTATTAAAGAAAAATTGATGCTCTAGCTATGTGATTAGAGTAAACTAAGTAGGAAGCCCTGGTTGGTTTAACTTCGTTAACTGTCCTGTGAGTCTAATGACTCTAATCAGTAATAGTTGGCAAGTGTAATATCTTTCGTTTAATAGTTGTTGCTTAGAAAACTTAACATTTCATTTTTCCTGCTCCCAAGTCATTACAAGCGTATTTGTTTTAGCCTTTCTGTGTTTTACATTTCCAGCATTTCTGGATGTTTTTATATTGAGTTTTTTCCCCCAGTTATGAGTTGTATTTTTCAATTTTATGTAGCTAAACATTGTAAATTTTGCTTTGTCCTATTCTGGATTTTTGTTTTCTTTTAAATGCTGTTGGACTTTGTTCTAGTTAAATGACTGGGAATCTATTGGATCTTTTTAAGCCTTGCCTTTAAGCTCTGTTAGGATAAGTCCAAAGAAGCCTTTAGTCTAGGGGCTAATTTAATGCTCAGGCGATATCCTGAAGATTCTTCCAGATGCTACATCTATTTTGTGGTCTTTCTACTTTGGCTGTGGAACACACTGTTTCCAGCCCTGTGCGGACTCTAGAAATTGCTCACCTTCCTGCTTTTTCATGATTTTCTCCCTTGCACTGGCTTTTCTTCTTGCCCGTGCACAGCTCAGTACTCAGACAGGATCTTTCTGTCCATTTCTTGAGTTCTTATGTACAGCTCTTTCCTACTCAGGACCCAGCTTTGCAAATTTCAGCTGTCTTTTCTCTCTGAACTTCAGATCTGTCCATTTTAACTTTCTTAGGCTCCCATGCCCCATCCTGAGCTCAATATTTGGTTTCTTTTCTCTGCACCGAGGCCTGGAAACTCCATAGAGGTGTTAAGCTGGGGAAATTAAATCTCCTTCATTTGCTTCTTTCCTCTCAGGACTCTCTCTGCTCTACTTTTGTCTAAATATCTAACCATGGTTGTTGCTTATCTCTATCCCATTTTCTCGTTGGCTAAGAAGGAACATAAGCTTCATCCCTATTTGATCATGTGTGGAAGCAGAACTACATTTGAGCCATCTATAAGGTAGGAAGAATAAAAAGAATTAGTCTTGAGAAATTCAGGGTTTTTTGAATTTTTATTTATTTATGATGCTGGGGATCAAATCCATGGCTTTGTACGTGCTTGGATAGCTCTGTACCACAAATTCTACCTTCAGACCAAGTGCAATATACGAACAACTAACTGTCACTGCTGTTATAAGTTAAATGTGATGGCCTGCATTCCCATTTCCAGAGACCCATGGTCTGTGGTGGTTAAGAAGGATATCTGATATTTCCACAGCATTCTCTTAGGGTATAAAAACTATGTATGTCCTATTTTTTTCTTTTATTTGGTCCTCAGTGGGACTGGAGTTGTTGCGTCCAATTTTACAACTGATGAAACAGTTATTAAAGCAGTTCTTTTGCAATCTTGTTTGTAATTTTCTTTTTCCCTTTCTTTACATCATTGATTTATAGCTGCTTCTTTGTCTAGCTCGTCCTTAATCTTTTAATGATGTAAGCATCCTTCCTTGAATTTAAGATCCGCAAACACTGCGTGCTTTTCCTAGTTTCTGATTACAGAACCTGCTTCCTGGGAGTGTTTCCCAATGTCTAATTCAGGTGGTATGTTAGAATTTGCAAAACATCTGAGTCTTTATAATAATTAGTTATCATACTAGAGACAAATTAAGACATTATAATAGAAAGATGAATTTTTAGAGACCCAAGTTTTCATCTACTCTATCACTGCCTATCTTTTTAACTTTTAGAAAGTAACTTAGTTGCTATGCACCGCACCCAAAAATAAATGTGCTGATTAGTGATATCCCTACTGGAAGTATTAGTTCGTGATTATTTGGTAGAATTGCATCATCCAGTGAATTCTGATCAATTAATGCCAATGCAATAAAGTTTTAGAATAACACTACAGTTGAACAAAATTCATCTTTATATGTTGTTAAGAATCTTAGTGGCATGGCTGGAGAGATGACTCAGTGTTTTAAGTTAAGAACACTGACTGTTCTTGCAGAAGACCCAAGTTTGAATCCCAGCACCCACATGGCAGCTAACAACTGTCTGTAACTCCAGTTCCAGGGGATCTTACAGCCCCTTCTGTCCTCTGTGGTCATTGCATGACGTGGGTGCACTTACCTAAATGCAGGCAATACACACATACACATAAAATAAAATATTTTTTTAAAAAAAAAGAATCTTAGTGGCTGGGGCAGGTGAGATGGCTCAGTGGTTAAGAGCACTGGCTGCTCTTGCAGAGAACCCAAGTTAGGTTCCCAGCACCACATGGCAGCTAACAATCACCCATAACTCTAGTTCCAGGGGATCCGATGCCATCTTCTGACCTCCTTGGGTATTGTGTGCACAGTGCACTTACATACATGCAGGCAAAACATTCATGCACATAAAATTTAAGAAGCATATATATATTTTTTAAGCTCTAGGTAGACCAGGCTGGACTTGAACTCACAAAGATCCGCCTGCCTCTGCTGGGATTAAAGGCATGCACCACCATGCCGGGACCATTAGGCTTGTTAAAGCACCACTAGATTCTCAGCTTTTATGATCAGTTACCACTACAATTATTATTATCTATATTTATTTAGTGTGTGGGGAGTCGGGGTGCATGTGCAGGTGTGTGGAGGTCAAGAGGACCCACCCTGCCTCCTGAATGTAGGGATTAATGGCCAGGGCCACCACATTCAGGAGGCAGAGGCAGGTAGATCTCTGAGTTTAAGGCCAGTCTAGTCTATGTAGGGAGTTCTGGGCCAGCCAGAGATTCAAGAAGACCCTGTCTCAAACAAACAAAAAACTAAAACAGAAAAAAGAGTTAGTGGTGGGACAGCAAGATGGCTCACCAGGTAAAGCTGCTTGCTGTCAAGCCTGATTTCTGGAACTCACAGAGTGGGAAGTAAAGAGCCAACTCTGGCAATGTCCTCTTGACCTCCACATAACTTCCACAGCACATGCACCCCCACTCCCCACTCACTAAATAAATAAATATAAAAAAATAATAATTGTAGTGGTACCTGATTATAAAAGCTGGGGATCTAGTGGTTCTTTAACAAGCCTAATGGAAAAAATTTGTCTTGGAAAAACAGAAAAAGTCTTTAAAATACCTTTTTTTTTCCCTCACAGAAACTATGAGAATTATTTCATCAAAGCACAGAAAGTAAGGCGTCTCATTGCGAATGACTTTGTGAATGTGTTTGGCTCTGGAGTTGATGTCTTACTAACCCCCACCACCTTGAGTGCGGCAGTACCATACCTGGAGTTCATCAAAGAAGACAACAGAACACGAAGTGCCCAGGATGATATTTTCACACAAGCTGTAAATATGGCAGGTAAGGGCTCCTTAAGAATGTTCTGGTTTTCTTCAGATTCTAAGCAGACATCTTGGTCTTCAATACAGGTTCTAACAGGATTATTTCCTAAAAGCCTATATTCTCTAGAACACTTGAGGGGGATATGTGTGTGGCTTGTACATGCATGCTGTACATACACATATTCTGAACCAATAGGCAATATTTTTAACTTATTTTCAAAATATTTAAGCATACATAAAAATTGAAAATGTAGTGTAATAAATACTGATAGACCTGCATCTGAATTCATCCTTGTTAACGTTTGCTTCAACATCCTTTCTTTCTGTCTTTCTGCATATACCCCACCTACATACACAGTGTATTTAACTGGATCGTTTGAGTTTTAGACATGACATTTCACATTATAGTAATTTAGCATGAATTTTCTAAGAATAAAGAGATTCTCCTACTTCAGCACAGTTCTATCATCATGTATAAAAAAGCTAATATGGGGGCTAGAGAGATTGCTCAGTGATTAAGAGCACTGACTGCTCCTGAAAAGGACCCAGAGGGCAGCTAACAACTGTCTGTAACTCCAGTTCCAGGAAATCCAACTTCCTCTTCTGACTTCTGAGGGTATTGCACAACACAGGTATACTTGCACGCATGCAGGCAATACACTCATACAAATAAAATAAAATATTAAAAAAAAAGAAAACTAATATGGACTCAATAATAATCCTCATATTTTCTCATTGATGGAAAAAAATGTCCTATGAGTTGTTTTGTCCCAGATCTAATACCTTTGTTTGTGATATGTTCTTTTAAAGGTCTGCAGTAATCGCCCCCGTGTATGTATTAGAACTACATCAGGCTATATTTCAATCACCAGACATAGTGTAGAATGCAAGAGGAAAAGGAGGTCTTCTCTGTCTACCTGTACTTCTGTTTTGTTTTTATTCTTCCTTCTTGAAGGACCATTTTACCTTTATCACTTCTTTCCTGTTCAAAGACATTCCTATCATTTTCTTTTAGGGTAGATCTGCTGGCAACAAATTCTCTGAACTTTATATAAATGTCTAGATTTTTCTTTAAGGGTATTTTTGCTGGATATAGAGTTCTGGTTCAAAATCTTTTTCTTTTTTTTTTTTTTTTTGGTCTTTTAGAGACAGGGTCTCTCTGTAGTCCCAGCTGGCCCGGAACTCACAGAGATCCGCCTGCCTCTGCCTTGGAGTGCTGGGATCAAAGACGTGCACCACCACACTCGGCCTGGTTCAAAAATCTTAACCACACACTGTTGGCCAGATGATAGAAGACCTCTTGTAGGTGGATGGATGGATGGATGGATGGATGGATGGATGGATGGATGGATGATAAACAGAGTACTTTTTAAAACCTTATTCTGTCTTTATCTACTAGCACAGAAAGGAGAGGTAATGAGCTCATGGTTTCTTTTTTTCCTCAGGCTTGCCAGCAGTGAGTGTCCCTGTGGCCCTCTCAAACCAAGGGTTGCCAATAGGACTGCAGTTTATTGGACATGCATTTTGTGACCAGCAGCTTCTCACAATTGCCAAATGGTTTGAAAAACATGTACAGTTTCCTGTCATTCAACTTCAAGAACTTATGGATGATGGCTCATCATTTCTTAAAAACGAAAAGTTAACTTCTGTTTCTCTGAAACAGTAGTGATAAATGTATCATATGATTTGGTGGTGGTTTGGAGGAAGGTACTGGGGATCCAACCCTAGGCCTCAGGCTTGCTAGGCAAGCCTCTGCCACCAGGCCAACCCTGGATCATGCAAATTAAAATGACTTTAAGAGATTCTGTTCTCTAGAGCATTCAGTGATCTTGCTCAGTTCTTGAAATTAGGTTCATTGTCAAGAGTCTTTCCTGGAGTTACTTTTTCAAATTCCTTTGATGCTGTTAATTATAATAATCTATGCATTTATTAAATATCTGTTCAATTCAAAGTACTAAATTTCTACTGAAACACAAAATACGTGTCATAAAAACAATGCATTCTGCAGAATTTTTATTAAAAAGAACAGAAATTACAGTAAAACTAAGTTTAAGAGTAAATGTCTCAAAATTTTTACATCTTTATAACCAAAGCACTAACAAAAATAATAATAGTCCTGATATAACCCTGATGACCCTGAGAGGTCACTCATCTTGTGAGTTAGCAATGCACAGCGACAGGCAGGGTTTTCTCTTTTGAGTGCTGAGCAAAGCAGTTAAAGAAGAAAGCTCTGAGCCTGGGAGGAAGTGCTACTTGCCAAGGGCCAGAATCTCGCAAGTCTGCGTACTCCTCTCCTGGGAGGAGCCAGGTGCAAGCAGTCCTTTCCTTCCTCTAAAAATAGAGCTAAAATGATAGTTTTCCTCCTTACGGTTAAATTTTTACTTTTCCTATCCCAGAGCCTAAGGCCTACCAGCTGGAACAGCTTGGTGTTATACTGAACTATTCTCTCATTTGTAAATCACAAATGAGTCATTGATGCTTTGTTGTTTGTTTGTTTGTTTGCTGAGATCTCACTAGGTAGTCCTGGCTGACCTGGAACTCACTGTATAAACCAGGCTGGCCTTGCCTCTGCTTCCCAGATCACCGTTGGAGAATTTAAGTGACATTTATGCCTCGGCTAACAAACCTCTGAAATTGTCAGAAGGACAAAAGTGCTTCTGAAAGGCAAAGGTAGGGTAGCTATGAGTGTAAGGTAAGGTTTTGCTAAGACTTAGCAAGATCAAACCAAAGTCGGGGGAGGGGGAGATGGTTAGAATCGTACCAGTGTGTAAATGTGAAATTCGATTACAAAACTTGGCACTTTGGTGCCACAGAGAGCCAAAGAGTGGGAAAACAAGCGTTCCATGCCAGCCCACACTTAGTGCTACCAAGAAAATCACTTGAAACCAGAGGCCGAAAACCCCCTCTAAGCAGCTGTTTGATACCAGGTCTCTGTTTTGTCAAACCATCTAGAAAAAGATGGCATGTGTGGAAGAGGAACCTTTAAATATGACAAAAGGCAGTGATTTGTGTTAGGAAACAGCGTCTACCTTTTTAAAAAAAATTATTGTGTGTGAGTGCATGATGGACACATGGCACACAGACATGTGGAGGTCAAAGGGCAACTTGAGTTGTAGAACACCATAGAAAGGCAGGACACCAAGCCTTTATGCCTGGAAGTAAAGTTTTTTTTGTCTTTTTATTTTTAAGTTAGCATTTTTTAACATATTTTTTAATTGAATTTTTGTGGATTTCCTACATCTTAATCATATTTAGACCCCCTCCCAAATCTGCACTCTGCCCTCCATAGCCCAACCATCAGATTTCATGCATTCTGTCATATATGCAAAGGCCTGTTGGGTGAAGTGTGTGTTCTCAGATGTCTCTCGGTGTGAGTTCATCCACTGGAGCCTGGCTAACCTATCTAGCAACACTCCCTGGTATATGACCATAAGGAAAAAGAGTCTTAAAGGCTCCTGGGGACTTGCTCATAGGAACTTAGAGCAGTGGTGACAGCATGCGCAAGAGTCATGCAAATTTAATCAGAGAAAAGCCAGCACAGAACTGGGTAAAATTTATTTTATGCCGGCAGACTCAGCAAGTTCGCACCCAAAGGCTGAACTCCGTGCATAGCAAGGTTTTGCGTTTTGTATCATTTTTAGCTCCTTCGTCTCCCTTACATGGTACCGTACAGTTTGGTTGGGTAATCTGAGGCTACAGGGCTGTGGCATTATGACTACAAGAATGTAACAAGTCTGCGCATGTGTACATTGACACTGATCAGACCTGGCTGTTTTACTTGTTCTGCTTTTTCCTGAATCCCAAGGAACTACCACAGTGGAGTCCGTTGTCTTCTTCCACCTTTACATAGCTCCTGGGGGTAAACTCAGGTCAGCAGGCTTGCCCAGCAAGGGCCTTTACCCAAGTTATCTTTCTGGCCCACAGCCTGCACCTCCTAATGTAAATAAGTACCTTCAGGATTTTGGAAGAATTCTGAATTTGAGGGGATTTTTTTATTGTTGTTTTGTTTGGTTGGTTGGTTGTTTTAAAACAGTCTCACTATATAGACAGATGCTCTTCTGAGTCACTCTTTCCATTGCTTTGGTAAAATACATGACAAAAGCAATTTAAGGAAGCGTTTATTTTAGCTCACAGTTTGAGTGTACAGTTACTCATGGCAGCAGGAGCTTGCAGCAGCTGGTCACACTGTGTCCACAGTCAAGCAGCAGAGCACGGTGAATGCTGGTACCCAGCTAGCTTTCTCTCATTAATGCAGTTCAGAACCAAGCCCTGGGTATGCGACCAGCCTTCTCAAGGGTAGATCTTCCTGCCTCAACCTAATCTACAGAATCCCTTGCAGACATGCGCAAAGGCTAATCTAATCCAAATAATCCCTCAGGTGTGCCAAGAGGCTTATCTCCCAGGGGAGTCCAGACTCTGGCAGGTTGACAGTCAACAGTAACCTTCACATTCCTCAAACTCAGAGTTCTCCTGCCTCAGCCTTCTGAGTGCTGTCCTTAAAAGCATGCAGTACCATGCCTGACTGCTATGAGAACAATCCAGAGAACAGTGAAATGATGGTTCCGGCTTCAATAGAAGTCAGCTGTATGCCATGTCCTGACCCCGTTCAAAGCAAGGAGTAAAATAATGCAGTTTTAGGATGAGCTTGTGTTATTGTGAACCTTCATTTGTTACTTTAGTCTCCACCCCTTTCCTCAGACATGGGATTACCTGTACCACAGCAAAATGTGTGTTGTGATGCAAGCGTGGATACATTTTACTCACTGTTTCAAAGTACCAAAGGGAGTTGAAAATAGGAAGTTTCCTTGGTTATTTCCTAATTTAAGCAGCATGTACACCAGAACAGAATCCTGAGAATTTATTAAAAGCAAATAAGAGAAGACAAAGCTCGCTAACATTAAGTAAAAGTAATTACTATAGGGCTTTGGGGGCTTCTTTCCTTCTTTATACGTCAGTGGAATATAAATCCAAGAGGATTTGGGGCAGTTTATTAAAAACATCATCACGTGGCTGGAGAGATGGCTCAGTGGTTAAGAACACTGAATGTTCTTGCAGAAGACCCAGGTTCGAATCCCAGCACCCACATGGCAGCTAACAACTGTCTGTAACTCCAGTTCCAGGGGATCTGACATGACAGCCTCTTTTGTCCTCCGAGGGCATTGCACAACATGGGTTCAGGCAATACACACATACCATAAGAAACAGTATATTTTAAAATAAAATGGAGATCTTTTTTAAAGGTTAAAAACTCATTCAATTTTACATCTTACAGGGTTTATACTGAGTGCAGTATTGTATAACTATTAATTCAACAGTGAACCTAAAAATTTTATAGCCACTTTTGAAAGAGGTGTATCTTTGTTCTGGAAACTGTTATTGAACATATTAAAGCTGTAATGATATGCTTCTTCTAAAAAGAAATAAAAAACATATATCATCACAAAGGTATAAAAGCAAATAGTTGGAGAAATCGGCCAAATGATAATAAAAATGAGGAAGAAGAGTACAGCCAGCCTGTGTAGTGGGAAACTGGGAAATTTCCCAGTGGGATAAAATCACTAGATTTAAAAATAAGATAAACCTTGGTTTGCCTCCTGTCACTGCTGGTTCTGCCTTAAGTAACTTGTTTGAGCTTCTGTACCCTAATCTGCAAAATAAGGATAATGTCTCCTCTTTGGGAACAGAGTAAATTTAAATGATGCTCTGGAAGCATCACACATGATGCCTAACAGACAGGCACTATATCATTTGTAGGTATAAAACAATACATGACAGGCTAGAGATGTGGGTTAGTGGGTAAGAGCACTGACTGCTCTTGCAGAAGACCTAAGTTTAATTCCTGGCACCCACATGGAGTTAACAACTGTTGTTAACTCCAGTTCCAGGGAAATCCTGACACCTGGTGCACTTACATTCATGCAGGAGGTACATTCATACCCATAAAATAAGTAAAAAATATTTTTTAAATACATGAGATCATGAACTTAAACTGTTTTCTTACAGAGACCTCATGGTAAACTAATGGCATGGGGCCAAATTGTAATTTACTAGAAAGCTTATAATATACCTCCCTGATGACCTATCATTCTCTGAAGATAGTTTAGACTGATGGACTGCATATTTTTAAGTGATTTCTGTAAGTTTTTAATAAAGAATTGGCCATCCCAGGATCCAGAAACATGGAGGTCTTTAAAGATCCTGGTTCTGATACCCTGAGCAGGACTGAACCCCCTCTTTTAAGAGTGAAGGCTTGAGGAACTATTGGCAGCTGATCACTGCTGGGTGAGGGAATGATGCTAGACAGGCTGAACAGGCCCCAGTGGATGAACTCACATCAAGGACATCTGGGGACACAATTTACTTGATAGACCTTAGGGTATGTGACAATGCATGAAGTCTTGTGGACAGGCTATTGGGGCAGGGTACATGTAGGGAGGGCTTCTAAATATGATTAAGATATATGAAATACACAAAAATTCAATAAAAATTATACATTGAACTTAAAATAAAAGAGAGTTAAGGCTCCTGGCCTGGAGAGATGGCTCAGTAGTTTAAGAGCTCTGGTTGCTCTTGTAGAAGACCCAGGTTCGGTTCCCAGCACCCACATGGCTCCTAACAGCTGTCCATAACTCCAGTTTCAGGAGATCTGATACCTTCTTCTGGCCTCCCTGGACATGCAGGCAAAATACTCATACACATAAAATTAAATTAAATAAATTGGGAAAAAGTGGCTCCTGCCTGTGGTAACACCTGCCTTTAATCCCAGCACTTGGGAGGCAAACGAGGTTGAGGCCAGTCTACAGAGTGAGCACCAGGCCAGTTAGAGATACACAGTGAGACCCTGTCTCAAAAAAATAAAAATAAAATAAAAACCAAACAAAGGCTCCTCAAAAATGACCACTACATATTGTTGCAGGTAAAATGTTTTTGACAGAGGCACGTTCTTCACCTTGAAAATCATGTTCTAATCCAACATATAGACAGATAATTGAGGCTCTAAAATACCAAGTTACAATTACTTTAACAAGGGAAAATTTTAAGATCAATGTTACCAAGAGCCACTAGTATATTCATTAGGGAAAAGAATTTAATGAAGGATCCATGGGGCATCTAATTGCAAGCAATTTCACTCCTTGGTGAATCTTCTAAGGTAAATTAGTTTCGAGATGGGCCCATACGTAAATGAGTGATGGAAATGGAGGAAGATTTTGGCCAATTTTAATGGTGGCTGGCACTTTTAGCCTATAGTGTATGATTTTTATAATAGGATGAATGCATCAAAAGTATCCAAAATAGGCTTCAAATCATTAGCATAGACACCAAAAGGAAGTGGGCTTGAAATTCAGAGTTTGAAGATGAAATAATGAGATATTCTAATTCAGTGCTCTATTGGAAACCTACAGACAAACATCTAAAGAGATTTATGTCTTTTAAAGGTACATGCAAATTATTAGGAGACTGCTTTTTGTTCTCCATGGAAATAGCAGG